CACCTTTTTTTTACCCCCCCCCCACCAAACCCTGTTCCACTTTTTTCCTGCCCACAGACCAGTTTCTGCCCGAACACCAGAGACGCTGGAAGCCGGGTAGGGCACAGCCTCCTCAAAAGCTTCGGGATCTCTGCCCAGCCCCTTGCTCTGCCGTGCCAAGTGCCCAACAAACCCCGCCTGAGAGCCATTTTGTATCTGCGGGACTACCACGGGCCCAAACCGGAAAAAAATGGGAATAGCCCTATTCTGCCCATACCCTTCATGCTCCTCGGCCGTTAAGCCTCTCCAGCTTCCCCAGCCTCCTGCCAGCCGGCAGGACTGCCGGTGACTTTTCCCCGCTCCGAGTTTCCCGGCTGTCCCAGGTCAGGCTCCCTTCCCTGGCGTGCACAGGAATGAATCCCCAACGTGCAGGCTGGGTCTCCCTCGGAAGGAGCTTCACGTATGGCCCATTCAACCATTTCAAAGTCAAGCTTTGGCAATTTCAAAGCTGCCACTATTGAACAAGTTGCCAAAACAAAATCATGCAGCTAAACTCTTTTTTTTTTTCCCCAGCCCTTTTTATTAAAGTTTCTTTTCACACAAAGATTTGAAATGGAGAAACATTACTGACCTGTTAGCTAAAAGAAAACCTAAGCAGCACCCAACCTTCTTTGCTGAGAATAAAAATTAGCACCTTAATATTAAAATATATCTGCGCCTCCTTAGACAACTGCCTCCCCCGGTTATTGCAGAGGGCTTTTCCACTGCTAGCACGGACCAGATGGCTGTGATGCCATCCTACACCGTCTCCTATCGAGTCTGCAGGGCAGGTCCTTGCTTTGCCATTCTCACTCACCAGTGCAAGCTCCTGCGCAAGCATTTTTACTGCCTGCAGTTACGTCCAGGTGAGTAGGCACTTGCAAGACGTAGATGATATTTTTAACCCACACAAACAGCATAGCAAGGTTAACCAAATGTCTTAGGTCAGTGGATGTAGATTAGTCATTATATACAAATTATTTCCTTCTGCACACTCCACAATAAAACTAGACTTCTGTGAAGAATTTAAGGCTTCCTCTAGAGTTTTACCTCTCCAAAACAAGAGTGCACCTCTGCAGATATATTTTCCGTATAGTTTGATCATACTAACAGCATAAATAACAGGGATGGTTTATCAAACAGTCATGAAAGTTAGGCTCAGCTAAAAGAGCTGCGTTAAGTGTGTGGTGCTTTTAATCTGGGAACATCGTATTTAAAAAAAAAAAAAAATGCAAACACACAATACTACACCCCATCCACTGCTTCCGAGCTTTACAGCCGACAGATAGGAACTTAATTCCTGGTGCCGTAGCGCCGAGACACTTGAACACAACCTGATCAAATGCCTTCAGGACTCTGCCTTCACAGTGTGTGCAACCACTAGCTGCTAATGGCACGCACAAAGCTTGAAAAAAATAAGATATTATTTTCAGAGGATTACACCAGACCCAGAGACAGATATGCAAAAACAATGACACCAAAGGAATCAAAATATTCATGGCTCATAAAGCGTGGTAGAGAAGGAATGGCTCCAGCTCATCGCCTGCCTCTGCTTAGATCCTTTATAGCACAATGAACCAACATTACCCCTTTTAGAAAACCATCCCGAGTCCTGTTTATTTGGGGACAAATCCACCTAATCCCGCTCATACAAGCAAGCACAGCAACTTCAAGGGAGCTGCCAGTCTGGGAGAGGACAGCAGAATACGGCCCCTTTTTCTGAACAGTCCTGGGACTCTTCTGGGGTGCGACACAAGATCCATTATTAATGACACACTAAAAGCCGAGCTAACATGGCACCTGCTCTGCCAGCGCTGTCCTGCCCCGGCCGGCTCTGTAACGCTTTCACCCGAGCTGTGAGCATGGGGAATGCCCGCGAGTCCCTGCTGCCAGGCCCTGGCATTGAAAATCATCACCTGTCTCACCTCAACTCAGAAAACCAGCCTAAGAAATCTGGGAAAAAGGCAGGGTCTTTCCTGCTCTAGGACTCTCCGCGTCTCCCTGCAATGGGCAAGGGCGAGAAACAGAGCCTTTTTCCTTCTTTTTACAGAAAAACCCTTCTTATTTGTCCATGAGAGCTGAGGACTTGGCAGCAGGGTGAGACAGCTCCTCCCTGGGCTTCACCCCCGAGGTGTTGGGGCCAGCAGCCGGTGGGGCAGCGGCACAGCGCGGACGGCAGCACCCGCCAGCACAGCGTGCTGTGCTCGGGGGACACGGCCCTCCTGGGCCACCTCACCGTGTTGGTGCTGAACCCCACGCTTTGCCAGCGTTTCACAGCCAAACAGGTCCCCAGCCCTTTTTGCACCCATCCCAAACCCGTTCCTCCATCCCAAACCATACACACAAGCCACAGCTGCCCCTGCCTCATCCATGCCCCATTTCGGGGCGGGGGGGGGCTGCAGAGTGGCCAAGGGGGGTCCCTGACCTCAGTGGGGTGCAGACAACAGTTTGCCCCCCCCTTCCCCATATGGGGTGCTAGCCCTGGCTGGATGGGGAAGCCCCAGGGTGGGGGAGGGGCGGGGGGCCACGCGG